ACGGACGTCACGCCACTGCCATTGACATTGCAGCAGCTAGTCGGGCCATTTCCGGCAAAATCGTGTGGAGTGTCTACGGCATCGACCATTATCCGGTTCAACTTCAGCTCCACACCACCGCCGTCCCCGCTGGAGGTACGAGGAAGCCGACTGGGCAACATATGACGCCAGCAATCCAGGACGAAAAGGACTTCGCTGGTGGAACGGCGACACCAAAAAGGCTGTCAAGGCACGTCGAAAAGCGCTTCGGAAGCTCAAGCGCCTCCGCCTTGAAGACCCCGATCGCGAATCTGCCCTCGTGAACTATCGCAAGCTCCACAACCAGTGCCGCCAATAAGTGAGAAGTGCTAAGTAATAGTAACAAGTGGGATACTCCCTGCCCAGACCCCCCTCTACACTGCCACAGGGTCGGCATACACGTATGACTATCGCGGCCACGGAAACACTCAAATACTTTTAACACACCCCGATGAACTTTCACACAGGTCTCTTTTATTTCCCTAAACATTCCCACTTTCTTATCAGCTATCTCCTACCTTAGCCTTCACTAGTTCTTCCTTCGTCTTCCGTCGTCGATGGAGGCCCCCTTTTCCTTCGTTCCGCTACACCTTCAACTTCACTTTCTCCTTTCTTTTGCTTCTGTCCTTCGTCCCTCGGTTACGACTGTGGGTTGTCCAGTCGATTCACCTCTTACCACTTCACTCTCTCCTCCTACGGGTGCTCCCACGGAACCGTTAGCCGAGCCGTTCGCGAACGGTATAACGAGTCCACGACGCTCAAGGCAGATCCAAAATGGCGATGAACACGGACTACTGAACGCGGCTGGTTCTAGGATGGATCGGAATACGGTTGTATTTACACGATAACTTTGGGGTTTGACCGCAGTAGGTCGAACACAACGAACACTACGGGATCTGACCGCGCCGTAGATAAATGCTTACGGTAAACCAAAGATGAATACTAAGGCTGTGAACCATTTGCCGAGTTTAATTTAACTCGTGGTTAAAAGTGACATTTCGAAAATCCATGTGTTACCGATCGATCGGTTTTCGAGCAGAGCTCAGCCACGGTTGTCAAAATTTAACTTCTTGTCTGTCAGAAATAACCACGCTCGGATGGCACGGTTAAGGCCCACGCAAATTAGATCCGGATCGGACACGTTGCGGAAAAGTGACAGCTAAATCTATTGTCTAACTGTCAAATTTACGTCAACGCAATGCAAACGAATCTAATGTGGGTGGCCCTTTAATCGATAACTTTTCATCTGTCAAATTTTAACCAAAAGTTTAAAAAATCCGACAAATGGTTCAGAACCTAAGATGAAACCAAAGAAGAATACTAAGATGAAACAGTAGGAGGAAAAACTATCGATTTCAGTGTCCTCTTTTACGGTCACTTTCATGCAAAGAATACCCCCCGTATTCAAGGTAATTTTGTGGTTTTGCTGCCCCCTCGGTAGAGATGAAATTTTGCGATCATTTTGATCAAAACAATGACACCAAAATCAGAGATGTCCTATTTTTTAAATACTCGATTAACAACTAATCGATCATTTTTTGTTCGCTGTACTGCCATTTTTCCACCAATGAGAGTGCAGCACATGTTTGAAACGATCGGTAATGATCCTCTGGAGATGTTAATGCTTATATCGGCATGATATAACCGATTACAAATATTTTACTTTTCGGTTCGTTAATCGATTAATCGATTATTCGAATGAAAATCCGCCATCACTAGATGATATAAGGACCTTACATAAATAATGATACAGTTTGAAAGGGACCGGGGCTAATCACAAATTACGTCCCCATGGTAACTGAAATAAACACAAGTGTTCATCGGTTGGGTAAACTACGGGGTCCTGTGGACACAATAGGATACCATGATGGCAGTTAATGATGAGAACAATTCGGTTTTTGGCTTGAAGGGTTTTTTTACCTGGATATTTTAGTAGGTTGGCTCCTCCTCCACTACTGATCGAGTTTCACGCCTCAAGACTCGTACAGACTAATCACTTCATTTCCCTTTTCAAATAACGATCTTTCACTATGCATAGATGTACCTATATCATATTCGTTTTGGGTTTGTCTAGCTTGGTTTTCGACTACAACTTTTGACTTTTGCCAGGGAATTGGCTAGCAACGATGGCGGGTGATTTCCTTGCGCTCTCGATCGTTGATCCATTTTCCTTCAACCCAATTTCGCCCCATCATGGCCCCCTTTACACCAATTCCCGATGGTCTCCCAATCCTGCTGTCAGCGGCATCTGACTGTGATTAGTGGAACTTCGTGGAATGGTTGCGTGCTGTCCAGTGGGTGGTGGACGGTGTTGGCAACAATATTTGAATCCTTTCTTGGCATTCATAACATTTAAATCGAAACACTAAATTCGCGACAATCTCAACAATCTTAGACAGACAGACACATCACTGGTTACAAAATACAGCTGGATGAACTTCCTAGATAGCATCAACGAATCGCAGTTCTCGACTGACCTTTGGAGTCGGGTTAACACCCTCAGTGGCAAGCGGCGTATGGCTCCCTGCACCAGCAAGTCGATGGTTCCGCGGTTTACGATCCTGACATTGTCGCGGACAAACTTGATAGGTACTTCGCTCGTTTAACCGCCATTATGGGGTGTTTACACTTATGCTATTTCACTAGCGCTAATGAGCTACCTGCTAGCAAAAAATCACACTAGCATAATGTAAACAGGGCATCAGCGTCTACCAGCAGGAGATTTCAGGAGCAACTGAAAATCGTGCTAGTTGGCGAGTACACTAGCGCTAGCAAATCCGCACAGATGTAAACACCCCATTAACGAGTACGACGACGGCGACATTCCAGGCAAGGTCAAACTGTTGGAGCTCTACAACCATCTTTGGCTGAATGGCATGTACCCGGACAGATAGAAGGAGAGCCTTGTCGTGTCTATCCCGAAAGCCACCCGCGAGGTATCCTAGTACCGCTAAATACCCACCTGCTGTATGGCCAAGTGCTGGAGAGGATGGTCAACCGTAGGCTGAAACAGTTCCTCGAGAATGGTTGCATTCTCGACAACCGACAACATGCGTTTCGGTAGGAGTATGGCACCTCTAAATACTTCGCGACGTTTGGAGACGTCTTCCAGGAAGCCATGAGCAACGGCAGCCATATCGAGATGGTCTCTCTCTCGACATTTTGAAGGCCTTTAACAGGACATGGACTCCCCTTGTTCTTAGGCAACTCGTCTGTTGGGGATTGAAAGGCCTGATAGTTCAGATCGTGAAAAACTTCCTCACCGATCGTTCGTTCTGCGTTACGGTTGGCAACACGCGGTCCCGGCCATTCTGCGACGAAACGGGTGTTCCTCAGGGTTCGATCATCGCTATAACACTGTTTTTAATCGCCATGATCGGAGTCTTCAATCGACTCCCACGCAACATATACATTTTCGTTTACGCTGACGACGTCCTCGTGGTTTCTTTCAGCCGAACTCCAACCCGTACCTGGGTGGAGGAACAGGCTGGCGTCTCGGCTGTTGCCAGATGGACCCGTACGACCAGCTTCCAGCTATCCGCCGCTAACAGCGTCAGGTGCCACGTCTGCTCCTCTCAACATCGGGCGAGCGGCCTACCGATCAAAATCATTTACCGCTAGCTTAGCTTCGATCCACACTTCCAAACTGTCAAATTCAGCTGTCGTAGTAGACTGAACATGGTGCGAACTATCTCTCGGCAGCATTCGCTTGCTCTACGGCCTTGAGTTCACCTGTTCAGCCGCTGAAAAACTGATTCAAACCCTCGCTCCCACCTTCAACAGCTATGTCCACATTGCATCCGGCCTTCTCCCGTCAGCGCCCGCCGATGCAGCCTGCATCGAAGCGGAAATACCCCCTTTCCGGTTCCGTATATACGCAGCTATTTCCAACAAGGCCGTTGCCTTCTCCGCTAAAACCACGGACGCCGACTGGATCTTTCTCCTCGAGGAGGGGAAAAGAATCTTCCGCACGGCCGCCAATGCGAATCTTCCCCAGTGAACAAGGGTCACTGGCTCGGAGAAAGAAGTTGGCAAATACCCAAATTCAAATCGACAACCGGATTAAGGAAAGCTTTAAAGTAGGAGATAGCTCCGAGGCTCTGAGAAGGTCGGTTGCAGAACTGACCGCAGGAATCTAACCACACGCCACACGTGTAGGTATCGGCGTTTCCGGCCAAAAAGAAGCGGTTAGTAGCAGCCTAGCCCCGCAATGCTCGGTATTTTCGGCCGAAGTCGCAGACATCCACGTAGCGGCAACCACCTCGTCCACCCATCCAGTGCTGGTACTTACGGATTCGCACAGTGCTATCCAGGCTCTCCAGTACCTACATGGGTCCAAAGTGTGATCCGTTTTGCGCCTGCCAGTACAGTGTATGCCTGGATCCCCGGTCATTTCGGAGTGCCTGGTAACGACGAAGCGGACAGCCTCAACCACCGGCACCGTCAAAACCTGGGGCCTTATTTCGTAATTCGAACCAAAAAATTTGTTCTTACAATCGTTCATACAAAAAATGCTTCGTTTCGACTTGCGCAATGAGACCCCTGACTCTTGATTTTTTTCAATTACGAAAGGGGCGTTATTTCCACAGATTGCCAAGGGTACAGAAAAGCCTCACAACGCCGCCGATTGAAGCTTTTTTTCATTGAATAGACTTTCATCCTGAGGTTGCTTAATCTATTTTGTCAAGAGAGCTGTAATCGCAACAACGATGACCGAACAAAATCTAAATTTAGCAGAGCTACAATCGGAAGATTTGTCGGCAAAGCACAATCAAGCAGCGGGCATCGCGAATCAATTTGACCTCACCTAATAATATTATGACGTCTTAGCCCTCTCAGGCTTATCACTGACGTGAACTATGCGTTCTATCTCATTGCTTCCTCTTATCGAACAGCTAATCGCAAATTTTGACTTGTTGACTGTGGTCAATCACAACATTGTGAGATTAAGTAAGCTCAAACAATGCTTAGCAAATACTTACCAATTGCTTCGCATCCAGCGTGTTCCGGTTCTTCGCCGCCAGGTTCCACAAATTGTACGTTAGCGTAAACATGCGGTCCACCGTCAGATCCGCCCCTGTGATGATCTTCAGGAACAGGTCCAGTGCCAGCTGGGACTGTTGTCGGATTGCGTTGGATTCCAGGAGTTGTTTGAGGATTTGCAGTACCTCATCGCACACCTCGCAGCTGATGGCGTGGATTTCTGCGAGAAACTTCGGATCCGACCCGTACAGTTCGTCGTTGGAGATTACGTTCACAATGTGATAGGGATAGACCTCCTGTGCGGCTACCGAGAGGAAATCCAGCACGTGCAGGTATATCGAGGCCAGCGTGTCCGAGGTGGGTTCAAAGGGGTATTTCTTGACTGCTTCAAGTAGGAGCCTCAAAAGGTAGAGAACGCCTTGGGTGGGATTATCCGGTACGATGACCAGCGTTGAGAGGAAGTTCATTAGGAACGATTTGAGGAAAGGCTCGCTTGATTGGATTTTGCCGTCTTGCTCGTAGGTGCGGGGAATTTCAGGGATGAGGTTAAGGGCGGCTTCGAAACAGGAGTCCGCTTGCTGTAGGCATATGTTGAGCAGGGCAACTTGACCCGATTGGAGGTACAGCTCCATTCTAGTGGTGACATCGATGATCGAAGGAATCGTGATGAAACAATAGGCGGCACAGGCCTTTACGAAAGCGGCCGTCTTGTTGGTATGTTGGCCTTTAACGATGCGTCGGGTGCTAGTGGCAAGGCGATTCACGCAATGAATGAGCGTAGAGTAAACGGGATCCAGGTTGGAAAAGGCGGAACGTGCTTCGACGTAGAACGAGAGCTGCTGCTCGAAGTCACGACCGAAGTCTACCTTGCGTATGAAGTGACTGATCAGGTTGCTGATTTGACGACGCTCGTCTTCACTCGTTAGGGCACTGTAAATTGAGCAAAACATTTAATTAGAAATCAATGAAAGAGATTGTTTTTTCCTTACTTTACAGAATCGTTCAGCACCTTGCTGATGTACATCAGAGCATTCGTAACTACTGGGTCCGAGATATACGAATCGGTTGAAGCCGTTCGGTAGCTAGTCAGAATGCTCTTGCATACGTCCAGCTTGGTGGACTCCTTCTGAAATATGTCAAGCATCGGCAAAAAGTTGTCCTACAAAACAAATATTGATGCTCAACAGTTGTGAATATGCCGTGAAATTAGTAATCATACCAAAGCCAGCACTCCATGGATATCTTGAGCATTGGAAACGATCTTGTCTATAATGACCTGCAGTTCATGGTAGTGTCGTTCATATGCTCGATTCGGTGTCATATGATACAGAATATCCCCCATCAGAGCGTTCACTTCGCGAAGCTGGAAGAATTCAAAATATCCTTCAGTTTGTTTTACTTTGTCAAAGAGCTAAGACTTTATCACCCCAAAATGCTGGCTCGTATACTGTGCCCACATCTCAGCGCACTGAATGTACTCGTCCGTATTACCCATCGAACTGATCGTTCGCCAGGCTGCATTCAAAACTAAAGCCCTCTGTTCCGCGGGTGGAGCCGTGTGACTCAAAATGCTTCCTAAAATCCTCAAAAGATGCCCACGGGATAATCCTTCCACCGAAATAGATGACAGAATTTCCACGAAAGGCACCGCTCGAAGTGCAATGAAATCCGACCGGAAGGATTGCATTATCGATTGCATCAGCAGGGCCGGGTGTTTCTTGTCGCGGCATCTCTTCAGAATATCGTCCAACTGGGCATCGGTGCTCAGAATCGTAACACCTTGCATGAGCCAATCCAGCGCCGGCAAAAACAGCGAAACGTAACCGTTAAGGGTGATTCGATGCTTGGCAATTTCCGTGCGGATGCCCCCATTCAAGATAGTATGATAAATCATGAGAACATCATTCAAGTTCTCTTTGATGTACTCGCGGTCGGTCGTTATGGCCATTCCCACCCGACACAGGTAGCATCTAGCGTAAACGTTGACGAGCGGATCACCAATCCCACGAATCATGTGCGTCAACCGCATCAGGATGGAACTGAACTCGTTGGCTGTCAGGAATCGATAACTTTTAAGAATTGCCATTTCCACGTACAATCTAAAGAAGTTCAAAACTTGTGATCAACACTTTCATCGAGTACATTTCAAAGAAACCCACCTTGGCAGCAGTTCCCGAATGGATGCAATCTTGTAGAACCAATTCTGGCACGTTTCCTTCGCCGATTCCGGCACCATATCGGGAGTAAAATTTTCCGGCAATGCTGCTGACTCTCTACTACCCGGACGAACGCTTTCAGCCTTAACGAGCAGTCGTTCATATACCAGCTTTCCGAAAATGTCCAAAATATCCGTAATCAAAACAAACTTGGACGGATAAAATTGAATAACCGAAGTGTCCGCCAGCAGCTTGGAGCACTGAATCGCAATCTTCAATGCCTTGACGCGTTGATCCGTATTCCAAGCCTGCACCAGCTCATGATTCAACTGTTCAATCTTGATCACATACTCCTGCTGCGACAAATCCAACATCTGCCGAACCGTTCCTTCCTCAAACTCATCCAGCTGTTCCAACCTGTACTTGACCTTTTCGGACATAGTCGTTTGCGATTTGATAGTTTCCCCTCCGTTCAGGAAACTCGTCACAATCGACAACTTCTCGTTGGTCGTGTATTTGTTCAGAATTGCACCCCTCCTTCCGGCCCAGGGTTCAATCAGCTCCAAATCCAGCAAATTACTCACTTCCCGCTTCTTGGACTTGGATGCCGACACGCTCAGGCCACCCTCAAACTCGGCAGCCATTTGTGAAAGGGGATCCTGAGCCGAGTCCTGCCGGGCAAACTGACTCAACGGATCCGAACCATCCAGAGCCAAACTGAGCGGATCCAGCGAAATGGTTGATGACGAGCCGCTGTTGCTCTCGCTAATGTTATTCGTCGTCTTCATTCGGGTGCCCTTGCTCTCCAGAATCGTAATCGTCGATTGTTTCAAGGGATGATCAAATACCTTGAACTGATCCAAGTAGCGCCGGCATTCGTCCTGATTGCGACAGATGCATTTCCTTCGCGAACAATAAATTAGATGAAGCCTTATCACGACCGGAATTTGTAATTATTATTACGCTACTTACCATTCGGCAGACATCCTTTCACTGTAACTTTTGGCAATATTCTGAACGATGTAGGCACAGTTATGATAACAGTCTAACTGCACAAAAAATTAAATCTAGAATATTAAATTTTCAACCCCGTTAGTCTGGTGATTAGAGATTACGAGCCAGAAATGGAACTGGAGAGACGGGCGACTGCGAGAATAATGATGGAAATAAATAAAAATAAAAATAATTGGATCTTTAACTTGAACTGTCATCGTCATGTTTCGGCTCTCCGTTAATCAACAAACGAAAGCGGCAGCGTTGGACCTCGAGGTGTAGGAATGTGAAAATTCCGAATGAGGTACTAGATCATCTCTAAAATAACATTTTAGAAGGGCGGATTCACAAAATCTATTTTATTTGTGCACAGCAAAAAAATGTAATATCGATCAATGTAATTCAAGCTGATGTATGAAATAATGATGTAACTGAGTACTGCGAACTAACTCAAAATGCTTGTCATCTGGGAGCCAAGTCAAACTGTCAAACGGGAGCCAAACATTCGAAAGAGCTCAGAAGTCATGTGGGTAGTTACTGTTTGAACCAAAAGTAAAGGTATTGTCATAGAGGTAACTCTAAGACAACTGGGTCCCGAACAAAATCATTATTATTTTTGGCTCACTCAGTACCAGAACAACGGTCCCAAGCAGTCCCAAGCTATTTCACTCACCCCTGCATGTTCTGCATGAATCCACACACCCCTGATGTTATCTGTCAAACTTTCATAGCGAATCAAAACAAACATAGTGTAGTAATAGAATTTCAACTAGAATAGGGTACGTTAATCGTTTGCTTGGGACCAATAGGCTACTAAAGTGGTGAGCCAATTTAAAATCGTTAGTTTCGTATTGATTGTTGGTATTGTCACCTACTGAAAACAAATTAAGAATTATAATTATGAAACTGTCGAAACATCAACCTTAGTAGGCGGATAATGTAAATCATCGAATGTGATGCTCGAATAAGTGTTTTTATTTGATATTAATAATAATGCCAAAACTGGGTTACGAACTGCTGCAACAAGAATTTATTCAAACTTTATAAAAGTCATGTGAGCAGGTAAGTCACTCCGCCACTTTGTGTCTGTGCTTATTGTGCTTCATGTGTGTTTTTGGGTGTCGGAAGGTGTTTCTGGGTGTTTCATCGTGTTAACCGAGCTGTCAAAACTTCAACCGAAAAAATATATTTACTGGCAACCATATCCTCAACCATAACAAAACGCTAATAATGGCAGATTCTCCAGCGACTCCTTTGTTGTTGTGCAGATGTGCAGATTAGTAATTCAAACGGGCATCGGCCCTCTCACTGCATGAGAAAGACGAAATGGGTGCGTAATATCAATATTATTGCGTCCAGGGAACAGTCGCACACAAGATTCTCGGTGGAGCTTCGAGAATCGGCAGGTCGAATACATGAGTTATGAGTTTCAGTGCTCATACAGAGGCATCATGTAGCTGATCCAGTAGTGTGAACCCAAATGATGCATCTAAAAAGAAAAGTGCCGAGCCACCAGATCCGAAGCGTATCCACGTCATCTACGATTTGTTGGTGAAGTAGGATAACAAAAGCTCGCTGATGAGCATCGATGAAATATTCAACGAATGTGGAATCAATCGTCATGTAATAAGGTAAACTTTATGCCATTAAATCATGACATTCAAGCGTGACTCATGCAATGTATTTTTAATGGTTGTTTCAGATTCATTGCGAAGGTGAAAATTGACGATTCGGGACCAACGCTGCAAACAGTAGATAACAAGGTTGAGAAACTTTACAATTTGCTAAGCGGGTGCTTCACGGGATGGACCGTATCGATGAATGAGAAGGGCTCAATGTGGAATCTGTGAATATCAAGATCGAAGGCGACGTGCTGATAGCCGTAAATACCACCGGGATCGGCTTTCGTTCCACCACCACCGCCAGGCATTTCAACGAAGCATAACATTTGTAGCGTTTTTTGGGTTTACCAAGATGAAAATTTAAGAAACTACATCCTCGGCTTATTGCAAAGCCTCTAAACGCTACAATTCGTTCCTAGAGGAAAGATATTGTTGACTTTTCTAACAAATATTAATTTTTATGGAAGCCCAATAAAGCTGGGAGTAACTGGAAGAATATTTTTTATAAAGACTTAGTGTTCCAGGTGCTTGTCAAACAATACTCAGATGGATGCATTGGTTGACATAGAAAAAAGCCTTCATTCGGAGTTTTTCATTGTGTCCATCAAATTCGTCATCTTGTTCCTCGGTGGACCCAAGATGCATTCGCGCCCTGATTCGCGCTTTTTTACATGCTTTTTAAAACGCCTTAATGCCATTTGTTCGCACAATATCCGCAAGATCCAGAATGCACAGGATCTCCCCCTCCATGAAACTAAACTCATGTGGTCGATCCGCGTACCTCCCATACAACCTTTCGAAAGATGGTCCACCAACGGCTGCCTTCCAGGTTTTAATTTATTTTCAAAAAAACTGAATAAATGCTTACCTCATCCATTTCGAAAAAAAAAATCAAGACTGATGGACGGCCGGGTTTTGTTCTGCAGTCGTCCTGGCAAGTGTAAAATAATTCAGTGTGCTAGTTTTATAATTATATTGTAAATTATTAAAAATAAAATTTTATTGCTCAAAGCCTGGAGAAAAAAAAAGTTTCAGGCTTTTTCAGTGGAGTGAAAAGGTAAGGAAAATCCATCATGTTTTACGTATATCAGTTGCTTATATGATTTGCCAATAAGAGTTCGTCGTAGATGCAAAACTACTGTTTATAAACATAACGATCGAATGTTAACAGTCATGGAAGTGGTGCCAGAATTTATATAAAATTTTAATGGAAGTGTGTTTGGAGTGGGTCGAACCAACAATCAATACGAAACTAACGATTTTAAATTGGCTCACCACTTTAGTAGCCTATTGGTCCCAAGCAAACGATTAACGTACCCTATTCTAGTCGAAATTCTAGTACTACGCAATGTTTGTTTTGATTCGCTATGAAAGTTTGACAGATAAAATGAGGGGTTATTGGTTTTACCTATGTTTCGAGGGGTGATTCGACAAGCTTGGGACCGAAGATAGTACCAGAGGTGAGCCAAAAAGTTGAGCACGTTTCTTCGGGACCTACTTGTCTTAGAGTTACCTCTATGGTCGAACTGTGTTTTTGGAGTGTTAAACACAAGGTGGCAGAGTGAGTTACCCCTTGCCGAAAAGAGTACCAGAGCTGAGCCAAATTGTTGAGCACGTTTCTTCGGGACCTACTAGTCTTAGAGTTACCTCTATGGTTTTGACGGAGTTGTCAAAACTTCAACAGAAAAAATAAATTTACTGGCAACCATATCCTCAATCATAGCATAAAGCTGAAAATGCCAGACCCCCCTGCGATTCCTTTGCTGTTGTTTGTTTAAAGAAATAGCACAACCGGTGGGAGGATTATTTGGAGCTAAAATGACCTCAGCCCAGAGTACCGGATATCAAAGTAAGAAATGGAAAGGAGCGCCAGCTATACCACTGACTTACTGCGTCAGAATTAGTAATAGAGTCGTCAATTTTTTTTCATTAAATGCATCCCAAAGAGTGACGTTCTCCCTTTATGAACGAATGTTTGAAAACAGTTGTTTATACTTGGGTACATAATGTGGCCCCTTGGTCCTAAATACACAAGTCGGATATTAGTACTGAAAAAGTCTGTACATTGTAGACGATATACTCGTATCTGTCAAGGATAAGAAAATAAGGTAGTGGAATTAAATGGAAACTACTAATCCTTCTCTCTTTGTGAAGAGCTTTGAGTGGGTTGGTTTATTTCCTTTAAATTCTGTATCTGTCAAAATATAAGCAATTATAACGGAATTTAAAGGAAATAAACCAACCCACTCAAAGCTCTTCATAAAGGGATTCCGTTAAGAGGTTCGAAAAATTTAAACAATTCTTCTCTCTTTGTTTATACAGGTATTTCACTAAGAAGACCACATTCATCGGGATAGATCAGGTTTCCTTAATACATATTTACAAATTTTGTTCCCAACATTAAATCTAGTACTACCGGCATATTCACTGTCATGCTCCCCAAGAGTTTTATTTTCTCTCCGTTAAAAACCAGACGTTTCTCCCCGAGACAAACGCATTCCGTTGCATGAAATTTCCGTTCGTTTGTGAGCAAAGCTCGCTAACTGTCAATCAGTAGAGTTTCATTGTTCCTCAGAAAATGGTGCATCGAGGGGCGACGGTCGTACGATAATATTTTATTGCACCATCAAATAAAGTTCCGAATTATTTAATGTCTGCCTTTTCCTTGTCGCCAATAGTTGTGCTTGTGCTGGTGAAAAAGTTTCCCCCAATCGCGTCTCGGTTCGTGATCATCCTCGCCGAGTGATTTTTTATATCCGAAAAGTCGTGTTTTATTGTGAAAAGTACAGCTGTAGGAAGAGTGGCTGGTGTGTAGTGTTTCGCATAATATTATTGTATTTTCCACGACTCGGTGATTGTGTGTTTAGTTTTTTCATCTGAAAGTTCCTCCACTAGTTGGATAGTAGCAGCAGTGGAGAAGTGTAAGAACGCGAAACAGGAAGCAGAGACCACCTCGTCTCGGGAGACGGAGCGAGAGGGGACCAGTGTATGTGTTGGATCCCGCTTCATCTCTTAGCCATATGAGTAGGTAAGTGTCCGATGACGATTCTAGAGTTCTCAACGTTTTTTTTTTCCTTCTGGTGTTTGCCTCCGCCGCATCGCAATGGCGGAGACCTCAACCCAAAATGACGACGACAGTGATACAAATGATGACTGGGAAAAGGTTCGTCATCGTACGAAAACAATGGCCCACTTAGGCATTCTTGTATTGGTCGAACTGCATTGGAAAAAAAATACATGGGATGCATGCTGAAGAAACCCGAAAACCTTGGAATTCCTTAATCAAACATAGGTATAAGCCGTACCATATCTTACTTTTGGAATACGTTCCAAAATGATACCTTTCGTCGGAGGTTCCATGAACCGTTGTTGATCCAACAAATTTACATGTCATTTCCTCTCTGGCAGCGTTTCAACTTTATTCGGCCCTCCGTACAGAAAACGTACCAGCAAGGTAGAGCTTCAGGCAGTGACCGACCCGCGTTGTTGAGGTCTCTCAAGGCTATTGACTCTTATTTTTCAATATTTGTTCCATTCGTTGACTGCACGGTGAACACACACACCTTTCAATCTTTCTTGCCTCTCCAGACTCGATCTATGACTGATCTTATGCGGGAAACGAGCGAAGGACGGAGGGTAGGCGGATGGTTGGAGATGTTCGAGTGGCAGGCAAGGTGTTTGCTGGAAAGATAAGCACAACCAACACGCTAAGATCAGTTTACCCAGATTGCTCAAAGAAACCATCCATGTTCTTGATTTTGTGAGTCAATGTGTATGTTAATATGTTAACCTATTATGCCAAACGTGACACAATCCCATATTGAGCATAAACTGGACATACTCATAATATGGGTAACTATGTTTATATATGAGTTAGTTTTTGCAAACCTAATTTTAGTCATATTTGGGTGAAAAGTTTATCCATATTCCGAGTGGCCGGCTTACGGCCAATCTGGGTAAACTAAATCTACATATGGGTTATCTTTTCTTAGCGTGTAGAGCCAGTAGTCGTCATCTCTCAGCTAAGCAATATAAGGTAATTCGTCCGAGCTGGCACCTACTCGGCTGGATAGGTGACGAAACTAGCGAAACGGCTTGTGTTTTAGTTTGAGAAGGTATTCTCACACTAGTTAACTTAAGGCACGCATCATGTGTATGTGTAGGTATATGACTTATTGTTGTGATGTTGGAATTAAAGTTCTTGGAACCGGTGCCATGTGGAAGAGTTGATTGAAAAATACTTCCGGTACGGTTTATGATTTGAAACGATTGAACTGAATGCGAACGACTTGTGTTAGAATAAATTATCCTATCTAAACTGCACTATGTACTTTGAACATCATATGGGCAAGGCAATCCTTCTAGAAACATATTTAATAATTCGTGAAAAAGTCGCAAACTTTGGTTCAAAACAACCCCCTCCAGGCTCAAAATACCAACAATACTACAATCCTTAAATTTGTTGTTATGCTGCAGCTACTTCCTCGTCTTTTGAATACTCCAATTATCTTTTTCCACAGTTTATATTCGGCATCACGCGCCCCTACCACCGAGCGACACGTGAACTCGCGTATGTCTTTCTATAGTCCAGTTATTGTCCACTTATCGTCACTCATCGTCGGTTTTCTTCGCGTTTACAGAATGGGGACTTTAAATTGTTGCGCTCGTAAGTCAACTCGAGTGATGGCATTGATCAATGCATATGATACATGTTTAAGGTATGAGCGTGGTCATCAGAATGGATACGGGCATATCAGCAAAAAAATAGGTTCCTTGACTTGGACGGAAGTTTGTAGAATGTAATGTAAATCATTCTTTAATGTATGAAAGAACTACGTAGCTGTTTTCAATATAAAAAAATATCGGAAGCAGTATAATGACAGCAACACGAACAGCTATTTAGCTCTCGTATATCATTATTTGCGTCACCACCAGGCAAAGCTACCCGCCTGCAACTGTTGAATCAGGTGTTTTGGTTCTTACCAAGAAGGTGGCTGGTTGGCCGACGTAAAACAGGTTTTACCGTTCGCTACCTAATAACTAACCACACTATGTTATGCAGTCTTGTTCACTAGATGCTGATAACGAGTAACAGTCTTTTCTCGGTAGTAGCTGATAACATTGATGTTCTCTGTACTTCACATTTCGCGGTTGATAGATTGATGCCTATTGGACAAGATGTGACTAATTTTTTTCTCTGGTTATTTTCTCGATGTTTCCAAACCCAATTCCATTTTTGGCAGCACGTTTCTCGGTTTTAGCTATCAAAATCGGAATAATTATCGATTTCTAAATGTTTACAAGTTACACATGCCGAATTACAGGTCCTCGGTAGCAAATTAATGATATTTTTGAAGAGCTGAACAGCACAGGAGTGGAACTTTGGATCAGAAAGTGGCTCCACTTGTCATTTGCGAACACTAGCGCACCTAGCGGTAGAAGGCATCTTCTGCCTGCAGTTGAGATAGGCAGCATGCTATAATAGTGTGAGTGCACATAGAAAGCCCGTGTGGAACGCTACCACAACACATCGCTTGTTGAGCAGAAAAACGAACACTTTTTGATTCACCGATTTGTTTGCACTTCTCCTTCTGTTCTGTGTGAACAGCCAAAATATGTTAAAGTCAAGGCTAAGAACGAAAACATCAAAGCCAAACTTTGCCCATACACTGAAAAAAGTTTTCACTTAGTTTATATTAGGAAAGCACATAATATTTTTCCAAAAACTAAAATAATGATTTTTATCTGAATATCACATAACCTCAGAATTTCTAGGTGCGTATTCATATAGATTTCATTGGACACATAACATTTATGTGGTTTAGTCGTCCTACAGTCACCCCAGTATTATGGACCACCCACAATTATGGGCCACTGATTAACATGCAGAACTGACTGACCCATAATAGTGACTAGCTGGCCCATAATACTGGGGTGACTCTATTTCCAATTATGGGGTCATATGAAAGATATGTGAAATGCACATGGATATTTTCCACTGGCTATGTGATTTATTTTATGAGTGTAGGACATTCAGGGTAAGTTGATCGAGCGCAGGAAAATTTTGTTGACCTTATTGACAGTTTTCTTGTTGTAGGCTTTGTATGCTCCTGTAGAGATTGTTTAACTGGCTCTTAGTTTTCTAGATGCACCCACTTTTATTAATTGAGAGCTTTCTATGCCATTCTATGAATGTGCATCTTGTGTGACAAGCACAATGATACTCTATGCTCAGAGAAGTCGAGAAAATTTCCAAGCCGCAAGATTTCCATGAGTGGACCGGGAATCGAACCCGCCGCATTTGGCTTGATAATACCATAGAGGTAACTCTAAAACCCGAAGGTCCCAAAGAAACGTGCTCAACTTTTTAGCTCACCTCTATTACTCTCTTCGGTCCCAAGCTAATCGATGCACCCCTCGAAACATATGAAAATCCACGAACCCCTCATTTTATCTGTCAAACTTTCATAGGGAATCAAAACAAACATTGTGTAGTACTAGAATTTTGACTAGAATGGGGTACGTTAATCGATTTGCTTGGGACCAAAAGGTTAGTCAAGTAGTGAGCCAATATAAAATCGTTAGTTGCCATCGGTTGATAATACCTTGCCTTTACTCACTAGGCTATCTGAGGTTCTTAATGACATTCGTTAGAACGTTTAAGTTTAAGTTAAGTTTAAGGAACCTGAGATGCTCTGATCCCGAAACAAAATTAAAGAAGCCTCGAGAAAAAACCCAAGTAACATTGCAAGTTTTATAGTGGTTTTAAAGCATGCTACAAGTCTAAATCATGGTCTACAGAACCCTCATAAACCGAAAATTGTTACTTGGGAATCGTACCCTTGTGAAGTTAAGTGATCTTTAATAGTAATTAAAAACGACAAAGGTTACTCCAAAGCACCTCAAGTCAAGCGCTCATTAGGCAAAAATGGGAGACAACTGCAGTAAACTTCACTTGTTGGTCCAAATAGCGTGGCTGGCGACTTGCAACTATGGATCGAGTGGAATGGAGACGACTTCTTCGTACAGTACAGGACACGTCCTTAGCCTGACTGGTATGGGATGTACGGCATAATATTTGACAAAATTGCAGAACAATTTATTTGCAGAAAGTTTGCCGAAGACACCAACTGTATATCTCAGATATTTTACGTTTTACTGGTTTGTATCGTAATTTTCTTCTTCTTAATCTTCTTCTTCTTCTTCTTCTTCTTCTTCTTTGGCTTTATTACATCCCTTTCTGAGACTTTACGGCGACTCGATGTTCTTTAAACTTCCACAGTTGCTAATTAAGAGCTTTCTAAGCCTGTAAAATTTTTGCATTAGTATTATTGTGTGGCAAATACAATCATACTCTACGCCCAAGTGAGTCGAGAAATTTTCCAACGCGAAAAATTCTTAGACCTAACCGGGAATCGAACCCAGCCGCTTCCAGAGTTAAGGGAGGCCCATAGGTCAATACAATCAATAGTACCGTAAGCGACCTGGCGGTGCAGAGGGACTTGATATTCGTGACACTTTAGGAGGGAAAACTGCAACGTTAAGATATCTAGAGACAATTTTCGTAAGGATTATTGTAAACAATGACTTCAAACGTCAATTTATCGAAACTGATAGATCATTCATGCAAACTACCCCACCATCAGGAAGGTGAAATTTACTCTAAACGATGGTGACATTAGTTTGGGTGGGCGACCTATCAGTTTCGATAAATTGTCGATTCATTAAAGTCGATTGCTCAGGATGAAAGGCTAACTAATAATGAGTTTGTTAGAGGATCTTAATTCAGCGATTACTACGCTAACATCCCCCTCAAGTGGTAATTTACGAAACTTCTAGCATCTTTCTGTCTACCTTAAGCTTCGGACCAGGCAGATACGTATTCTAACTTAACGGTTTTTTAGTCGATCTGTTCACGGACATCCTAATTGACTAATGTCAATTTGTTTGCTACGTGCCGAGTAGCCAACTTCAATATCCGCCAAGGTGATAGCGCTCTTCTTGTCACAGTTGATCACCAGAGTTTAT